ATGTACGGCGAACGACTTTTTAACGAGTGGTGTTCCTCTGGTTAATCTTTCGCATCAAGATCGTGCAATTAGCTCTGAATTTACGCGAAGAAAACCGTAACGCATGAAAAGCAGAAACACGCTTCGTTACATGTATACTACCTAGATACCGAAATTTCCCCCCGGCGAATAATTGGATCGAAAGTCCGGAGTGTTTAGATTGAAATGGGATCATCTTTCATATTTAACGACGGAGAAAGAAAAGGAAATTGTTTGCGTTGGAAAATCACGGTAATTTGCAATGTTTAACAATCGAAAAGAGAAAAGAAATTATCCGCGTTGGGAAGTGACGATAATTTCGAAAATTCAACGATGAAACAGGAAACAGAAATGACGTACATCGAAACATCGTGATAATTTGCAACGTTCAACGATGAAAAAGAAAACAGAGGAAACGATCGTTCCACGGTAAATTTCGAGTTTCGCGAAATCCAATAGTTTCGCGGTGGTGAAATTACCCCACGGTTCTGTTAACGGAAATTTTGAAATTGCTCATAACGAAAGACGAATGCCAGACGCACATGCAACTGCAATATACTTTCTGGGTGCACTGTGCACGCCTTCTCGTGAAAGCATCACAATGACTAAGAAATATTTTGACGTAGAGCGGCACGAGATAGCTTGCAAATGGATTGGAATGCTGCGAATACTCTTTTCTCTCTCTCTCTCACTCCCTCACGAGTTTCGTTGAAGAATGAAGCGTCATTTATTGCCTTGTATTTATTACTAAAAATATATTCACGGCAACTCGCAGGAATTTATCGCTGTATTTCTTCCTATCGTTATTATGTTTTTTTTCTTCTTCTATTATTTCTTTTTTTTTTTTTGCGTTCATTTAAATTATTCACAGTCAAAGCATAAACGTTTCACAGAGTTCCTTTCAAACCAGCCTCTGCTAATTATTAGGAAAATACGTATCTCATTGACGATTGACGTTAATCTTGTACCAATAAACGAGTATCCACGACTGACGTGTTTCTGATGAATAACTATCGGTAATTATACCGTACCGCTTGGTCCTGGTACCACAGGATATTTGATAATGGTACCGGTAAATGATCGTCGTCGCGTGTATAGATCCTCGTCGAAAATATACAGACAGAACCATGAAGGAACGTGTCGATGGAAGAAAAATTCGCGACGCTTTATGGTAATCTTGATCGTTAGGAATGATCGGAAAACGATAAATCTATTCCTTCACAATTATCGTTTGTGTGACTTTGGTTAATTAACTCTTCGACGAACTACCGCGAAAATGTTTCCTTTTTCTTTTTTCGCTTGCGTAACGATGCGTTCGCAGCCGCGCAAGTGGAATATTTCCTATTGAAATATCCATGGGAATTAATCGGGAACGATTAAATGAAGATCGTACGGTGTTCAACGACGCGTGTAATCCTGTATGAAAAGAGAGGCCTGTGTCGTGATTACAGGGACAAGAGAATTGTGTGTGGGAATTGGTTGAACGGGACAGAACTGTGCAGGTAGTGGACTTCTCAAGGCGAGGATTTCCCAATGGTTAAGTGATTATTTAAAAGACAGACGACGATAAGCAATCGTTGGATAAGTGCGACGAAGAAATTCCCGAGCCGCATTGCGTGAATTCCGACCTTGCATACTTTCATATCTCATCATAACCGCTTATTACGATTTCCGTGATAACGCTAAATCGTAATTTCCTTCCAATCAAATCTTTACAATTGATCCTCTGTATTTGTGAACATTTTTTTTCATCGTAAGAATAATTCACAAGTTATTTAGAATTTTTCTCTCGATAATAGTTTCCATCGTAGTTAGAGCCAAGTACACTATGTACCGCACAGCGTTCCTCTGGATTTTACGATGGAGTGGTCCTTGCACGAAGAAGGCCAAGGTTGGCTCGATGATTCGGAGTAAAATCACGCCTATACTTATTAGGAGAGGCTCGCGTTTGCCGCGAAAAAGGATACTAAATGAAAACGCATTTTTCGGCATTGTTGCGTAATTAGAGAAATATCGTTGTCGCTCCTTTCGGAGAGATGTTCATTGCGAAACGTGGCTCGTGTCCAGGGGAGAACGAGGTGAAATTGAAAGCGCGACGGTAGAGAGGAGGGAAAGACACAGGCAACAACCTTGTTGTAATCATTGAAAAGAATGACACTGGGAAGAGCATTGTTCGAGCTTTATCACGCGCCACACAATAGCACTGTTCTACACATCTTTGCAACGTCTTTGAACGTTTACTTCAATTGTACGCAG